AGTGATTCCATGGCTGTTGTATTTGCTGAGCTAGTTACTCCTTTGCTCCATTACACTTTTATTTTAACTGAAAAAGAAATATATGCATATGGTTAAAAAAATTCAAACAGAGTATAAAATACACAAGTGAAAGAAGTTTTCCCTCATCCTCTGTTCTTACACGCCTCCCTGGAGATGCCACTATTTAAAAACCTTTGTGTGCTTTTCCAGATATGCTATGCACATTCCCAGCAATGTATGTAAATTCCTTTAAAGTTTTACTTATTTTTAACTAAAAGGGATTTCAAGCCTCAATGGCTTCTGCCACGGTAATAGAAAAGAACAAATCTGACTCCATATTAGATCTGCTCCTTTGACTTTAACCCTGTGCTCTGTCTCCAAGACTTCATTTTGCTTGTAAAACAATGTTGCCTAGAGCTTAAAATATACAGGAGAGCGTATTATGAAGGCTCTGACCTTTAAGGGTATTTAACACTTTTCCATTCATATAAAGATAATAAATTGCAGAATAGAAAATAACTTTTGTTTTGTTAGAGGTTTACAGGGATCTGACCCATGCAGATAGCTGCAAGAACAAAGGATTATAAAAACAAGGAATTCCTACACAAAGAAGTTTTCAACAACCAAGCACGTAGGAAAGGAGCCTCAATTCTGACTTGGGGAGATGGTTTTCCGGGACATTAGTTCGCCATCTAGGTCTACAGAAACTTGCTATTCCATGCCCTAACACCTGGTCTCCCAATTTACTGGCCTGTCCTGCACTGAGGAGAATGAATTTGGACTCAGTAACACTTCTACCTACCTAGCAAGCTGGGCACTGGAACTGAGGGCAGCTCTCCCATACACAGGGGCCTTTTGTGAGCCCTTGATTATTCCCCGAGGGTGGGGTGTGGATTACCCAGGAGGGATGGGGACTATGCACCAACACTCAGGCAGTCTGCTCCTTCTGGGGCTCTGACATTTTACCTCCTGCTCCCCGCCAGCCCAACACTTGGGACAGTGGAGCTAAGGCAGAGATCGTGCCTGCCTGTTTCCCAGCATGTAAAAGGGGAATATGTACTCTTCCCAAGGTAGTTCTGTGCGACAACACCTGCGGGTGCTTGGTTCCCGGAGCAACAGGAAACCCAGCTCCGCGTGGGGGCAACGGGTGTGATACCCGTAGGGGTTCTGCAGAGACCTTAGCTGGAGGGCTGTGCCAGGGACGTAAAATAAGAACTGTGGGGCACTGAAGGTTTAGAGAAGGGTGCAGAGGCAGGACTGCCTCCTCCTTTGGGTTGCGCCCAGAGGGAAAACGCTTTCTCCCCATTTCTGCTACTCCCCTCCCAACTCCAGATACCTGCCTTCTCTCTGCTCCTCCTGTCGATCTGTCTCCTTCCACTTTTCCCCTCCTCCCCTCCTCCT